CGTGGCTTGCTAGCCGGTGCCGGCGCATCGCGGCGGAGCATGCGGGCTAGTGTCGGCATGGTGCTTCTTCGTGGCGGGGATTGGCCCGATCAGATCTGTGCTGGCCGGGGTTGGGGCTGGCGGCCGGAGCTCGGCAGCAAGTCTAGTGGAGCGGTGGACTTGGCGGGAGTTGGCAACAGTGCGTTCGCGAGTCCGGGTGGCGGCGGCAACGTCTGGAGGCTGTGGAGCGAGCCCACGACCAGGGTGGTGGCGGCGGTGCTGTGATGGCTCGGCCAAGATGGAGTCTTGACGAGCAGTGAGCGGGCGGCCACCTCTGTGCGGTGTGGTGAGTGGCGGTGCTCTCTCGATGGCGCAACATGGTTCTTCATGGAGAAGTGGGCCCGACTGTCATAAGGCTGTCCCTTGGAGTGGGCAGCGGCTGTTACGGGCGGTCCTGGACCTTTCCGGAGGCGCGGGGTGGTTGCGATTCGCCGTCGAGGCTGGGGGTTGGTGGTATGGCCGGGGCTCTCTTTGTCATGCATCCGGTCGTAGGTCCTAGGCTTTGTGTCTACGTTGGTGAAGTGATGCGGTGGCGGCCGAAGCTTTTGGGATAGTGCTGGTCAATTCTAGGTGGTGTGGTGATGTGTGATGCCTGGATAAAAATCTTGCACAGCTTTCGTCACGCCGGCAGCAATGATACCCGTGGATGTCATTCTCCTCCTGGGAGGCGTCGCCGAGGCGCGTTTGTCATGTCCCTCGCTCACTTGGAGTTGTGGCTTTCTCCGAGTGAAAGCCTCGATTCCGTGTTGGAGTGGTACAATGGCAGAGTCCTTGATGTCGTTCCTCTATTGGGAGAATTGTGTTTGGAGACACGGGTGGTTCCTCATTGCTCTCCTCTGGTGTTCGCCGCTGTCCTTCGTTGGTCCTATGTGACACTATGTCTTCCATTAAAATTCTGCCTTCTATAAAGTTTTTTTTAAACGCCTCGTCGTCGATGGGAACGTCTCCTTCCACTGAATGCGCATCGCCGGAAATTCTGAAATAAATTCAGGAATAAATGCGAGCACCAGGATATGAACCCTGGTGGACTGGGGATACCATAGTCCCTCTAACCATCCAACCATATATTAGTTCGCTGCCTTCTGTAAAGTTATGGTACGTCTAGACGTAGTCTTGAAAAAAAGATTTGTCTATAAATACAAAACGTGTTTAGAAATATTCATATCTAGATAAATTTAAGACAAGTAAATTGGGACGAGCTAATATTAATGCTTCGCCTAGGCCTGGGTGGATTTTGTTTTTTCCACAGCTGCCACGTACGGGGAACACGCTCCTGCAGCCTGAAGTAATCCAACCCAGGGTACCTACCACTCGATGATCCAAAAAGAAAAGAAAAAGATGCCTGCCCAGGAGTGCGGACTGGAGGTGGTTAGAAAGGAGAGAGATTTTCATGGTCTGTTAGATCGCGTACCAGGTCGACCGCCTAGGAAGTTTTCCCTCCCCCACATGACGACGACAGTCCAGATTACATCTATAAAATGGGATCACATTTGCTTCTCTCCCGAATGCCCTGCTGAAGCATCCCAACCAACTCACATACCCTAGCTCGACCGGCGATGAACAGTGCGCTGCCCGTCCTCTCCTCCGCTCACCCTGCCGCCGGAGCTGCCAACTCGCGCCGGCTTCCCTCTCCGGCCCTCCACGCGGCCTCGACGGGATATGCTGACAACAACCGGGGCCTAGTCAGCCGCAGTGCTGCAAATGCAAGCAAAGTATGCGCCTTCCCAGGCGAGGACACGGACACCGCCGCCGTGGAGGTCCAAGGTACGTACGCATGATGGATCGCCCGTTTAGTTAGTGGTAAAGACCGTGAGTCAGCGCGGCTGCGCCGCCGCTCGCTGGGGAGTGCGCCCGGCCTGCTTGGCCGACTCCCCGCCGTCGGCCGTCCCGTCCTCCTTGCTCCTGGCCAGCCGCCGCCGCCATGCTTAGGTTTGGGAGTTGGGACTTGGGATGGCCGCCGTAGAATGGGTCGTCTGCGCGTCTCGTTTCGATCTGGCTCGTGAACGACCTTTTTTTTTAACGACTTGTGCGTGCAAAGTGCGATGCGTCTCGTGCAGCAGCTTGTGGCCCATCTGGCTTATTTTCACCAGGTCTTTAGCGATTTTCGTGGCGACACTAATTAGCATAGAGCGTCCAGGGAGACGCGATGCATATATATACAATTTTTATTTTTATTTTTGCACCCGGTTAAGGTATGGCAGGCTACCTAGGAGGCCTCCGCCAGTGACCGTGACCATGTCTCGAGGCCTCCGCCGTCAATCTCTTTCTCCATCACAAAATTAATTACCTGCCACTTTTATTGTATATGATTTCAGATGTTATTCCAAAGTTTTTAATAAGATTTCTGAAATCCATGTATAGTGAAATTTTGTGAGAAGTTTGCTACAATTTGTTAATTCTAGAGTTTCGATTTTTTTTCTTCTCAAATCATGGATGAATTTCTCAAAGTTTATTTTATATTTTTCAAAAGTTTAAAAGAGAAGATGAAAAAAGGGTAATAATAGGAAGTTGGGAGGAGAATAAGCAAGTGGACGTTGCAGCATCCTCATCTAATATAATGCATGATTCATTTTACAAGTTTGGCATTAGGTTACGATTTGTGTTTTGCTTCGAGGAAAATACTTCTAGTGAAATTGTCACACGTACAGGAAGCAGCAGATGGAAACCAGCTCTGTGCGTGATTCTTGTGGAGCTGTTCAACACAGGGACTATACTGCTAGGCAAGGTCGCACTTGATGGTGGCATGTTTGTCTTCTCCTTGCTGTGTTATCGAAGTATGCTTGCTGCTATTTTCATCATGCCGTTTGCTCTATTCTTCGAAAGGTACGTTAGACCATTTTTCTGTTCAGTTTATATCTTATATGGAAACGAGCTACTATATTTGCTAAAATTGGCTCAAGCTTTTGACATGTCTGCAGTGGGAAGTGGAGGGAATTGGATATCAAGACTCTTGGGTGGCTCTTCATCAATGCTTTTGTCGGGTATACAATTCATCTACTATCCTGAAAACCTTCCTTTTTTGGGGGTTAGTTTGAATTGCTTACCACATGTCTCACGTGGTATCCTAAAAACCTTCCTTCGCACAAATAATCAGTTTTTGGTGTTCTGGAGGTCATATATGTTTTTGTCCCTGATTCACATCATTCTTAGTGAGTCAAATTGGCGATGAGGTATATAACTATTTATATCAATTTTCCGTATGCCGGTCTGATGATGAACCAAGCGGTATCCAATTAGTTCAGTCAACACACCTCCATGCCAAAACATAAATCAACTTGAGGGGTCCTCAAACCTTTTTGCTGGCAATTTTTCATCGAAATCTCCCCACAACTATAAATGAAAAACTTGCTTACCAGACTCATCAAACATTTTCTCGCGTATTGTTTGTTTATAATTTCAAACTGAATTAAGATGTTAAGATGCATGATTTCTGATTAGTCAGTTTTGTGAGATTCAATTAGACTGAATATGTGATGCAATATATTGGGTTTAGGTTTATGTACATGATTAAGATAGAAGATGAATGTATTGATGATATATTTAATTCGTACAGATATTCGTTGCCCATGGCTTTGTACTACTATGGATTACGGGACACACCTGCCTCCTATGCTGTGATCTTCTCAAGTTTGACTCCACTTTTCACCTTTATCTTGTCCATAATACTTGGGTAAAACAGTCTTTCCTCTTAACATAAAAGTCTATAATTGGAAAGAACCAGTGCTACATGTGGATATTCTATAGATTTTTAAAAATTTTGTTTTGATTGTATTTTTTCTAGTAGCTGATATTCAAATGTAGAATTGTTTTGCTTTCAGTAAGTTAGCCAAATGTTGGTAGTGGATGATATCTATCTAATTATGATGCTTTACAAAGTACAAGCCCCACATCTTCATTTTTTTCATAAACTTAATAAAATTATAAATATATGCTTAAACATTATAAGAATCTTCTGAGAAATGATATAAGCTAATATTATATTACCTTAAACATGTAAAAGAAATGATACCATCTTAAACTAAATAAATATATGCATACACACTTCAGTGAACGTCTAGTTGATTTCATTAGTACTACGAACAGTCTGAGTAAAAATTATAGTTTTACTATATTAGTATTAAATTTGTATTACCAATATATACAATAATTCAATACTTTACAATGATTAAATCTTTGAAGCAATAACATGGTATTTCATAAGGATGTTATTCTCCTGGTATCAACATCATTATTTGAACTGTCAAAATAATTTGCTTCAACAACATACTAAATATTGAAAGAATAAGTATTTCTGAAGCTTGCATAATATTTTTTTCTAATTAACAGCATTTCTTTATTATGGTTACGAGTAAATATGTGATAGACAGTCAATATATTAGAACCACCTGAACACAACAAAATAACAGCCGGATATGATTTTACATGTTTGCATACGAACTAATGCACAGAATGAATAGTATAGTTCAGTTACGTATCTTAGTACAGATTAAAAAAAGCGAATTGCATTTTGCAGCATGGAGAAGTTGCGCCTAAAATCCAAGGTCGGCAGTGCGAAAGTGATTGGAGCACTGGTTTGTTTTGGTGGGGCTCTACTAATAAGTCTTTACAAAGGAAAAGAATTGCATCTCTGGTCTCCAATTATAAGAGTGACACCAAAAGATTCTAATGGAGCTTCTGGAAAGCATCATTTGAGGGGCACCTTGATTTTGTTTGGTGCTTTCAGCAGCTATGCACTTTGGTACCCTATACAGGTTTGTTCAGTAATATCATGTAAATTAAAATACTTCTGGTAACCTATCAGCACTAGATGTACGCAACAACACAATAACATCGCGAATATGTTGATACCAATAAATGGCATTCAAGCATAGTGGGGCCAAACAATAGGTTTTGTTTTGTCTTGATCACCGAAAGACATTCACGCATAGTAACCAAGATAAAATACAGGAAAGGGCTCCCAACGTTTTGCTCAACTATATATGAACCAAACAGATCTATTCTCCAAATTTCTCCAATCCAAAAACGAAAACGACAATGTGACCATCTGGAAGGTGGGAAAATGTCTTGATTCTAGCATGATGGATGTGTTATCATGTCCTGAAAATGAACCTTTGTAGTTACATTAGTATCATTATTTATCAATCATAAATATCTGGCTACTGTATGAATATGGCATCGTTGAGCAAAACATTGTGTACAGCCAGAAAATTTCAATCCACCTCCCACCTGTTTGTAATTATCCAGCATATTTGGCTAGTCACAAGGCTTACCAGCTGATTATAAGGATATACTGTTGGAAGAAAACCACCTGTCCGGTCCTAGCTAATAGGTCAAATTTTAGAACATCAATTATACCTGACTAGTCAAGTCATCGAAATACCACAGGATGTACCTATGTCCATGCTCTTAACAAATTGACAAGCTAGATTGGTCTGTAAATCCTGTACCTATGACCATACTCTTTCTGATTATTTAGACCTCGTATTGTATGATAACGGCCATAAGTACATAAGTTAGTTGCAGATACATCTTGAAATTCTCACTGCTGTCGAGCAACTACTAACCACCTGGTGTTTTCTGGACTAAGGCCAGTGTGTATTTTTTTCCCATAAGAAGCATATTATAACTCAGTATTTTATTCTTGTTATTCTTTGCTTTAGATGTGTATTTTTAACAACTGATAATGCATAAATGTTGATAATTCAGGTGAAAGTTTTGAAGGTGTATCCATGGAAACATTGGTCCTCTGTGCTGACCTGCGTTCTGGGTGGTGTGCAAACTTTCGCCGTCGGAATAATTGTGAGCAGGCATAAACTTGCCTGGCAAATAGGATGGAACATTCAACTACTAACCATTGTCTACTCAGTAAGTCTTTTTCAGAATGTATTGATTTTATTTGTCCAAATATTGTATAAATTATTGAAACGGGCTCCAAGTGGATCTGGCATTGTCAACCCTTATTGTCCATCGAGATATTCACTGTTGTATTTGCACTTTTATTCATGACCCGTGCTTCAGTGCTAAGAATATTTCGGCCATGATTTAGATTTAGTTCATTGGAGTACATCAGTACTCAACTATTATTTTATTATGAAATAAGAGACAAACAAATCACTACGTTCGTCCACATATGCTAAGTTGTGCTTGCGAGCCGTGCTTGACCCGTGCTTCATGTTATCCTTAGTTGCTATGGCGGCCGGCTCCAGTTGACCTTCCCACGTATCCGAAACGAGCCGCCGCCGCCCGTTTTTGATGAGGGTATCCCTGTAAACTACCAGGATTGTTTCGTAAATATGTACAAATTTCCTGTCTAACAATGTCCTCGTGAACAATTATGTCACGTCAGCTTTTGTGGGCTCCACTTGTCATAATCATCATCAGATGGGCCAAAGTCGCCAACTAGTGTTTTTTACAAAAATTTCGGTCCAAAGTTAGTGGTTTTTGGCACAAATCAGTAGAATTGTGGTTCTTGCAACCCTAGCCTTTAATAACGATAGTTTCTGCAATTCACTTTGCCACATGTATGCATACACAAAATGGTACATGTACGGATAGACACGCAATGCATTTTTTTAGGCAGACATGCAATCATCTTGATGCTTCATATCGAGTCAATAAAACCCACTTTTTATTTAAAAAATGCAATCATCTTCATGCAGCTAAGCTAGCAATAGTCATGATTGACCACGTATCAGATTTAGGGATTCACGGTTTCTAAAAATAACATCTTTTGTCTTCTCTATATCTATCTCTCGTCCATCTCTTCTCTACAAAAAAAGAACCTGAGGTTCCATCTTTCACTTTTCTCCCCACCACACCTTCGTCCAACCTCCCACCCTCCACCGATTATTTTTGGGTTTTCCATTCCCTCCTGGCTTTCAGCAAACCAATCTTTTGTAACCTAATAAACTACTCCCTCCGTTCGGAATTACTTGTCTCGAAAGTGGATGTATCTAGAACTAAAATACGTCTAGATACATCCATTTCTGCGACAAGTAATTCCGAACGGAGGGAGTAGATCTAAGAAGTCAGTGTCGGAACTAGCATGCTCTTCAATG